CAAAGGTCGCGGCGCGCGGCGCGGGGCCGGCCGGGCGTGCGGCCGGGAGGCTGGGAGCGAGAGAGACGGAAGGTGATCGTCCCCTCGTTCTAGTTGCGCTAGTTACGTAAACGGCGGAACGGCGCCGCATACAAAGTAGTCGGCAAAACAGCACACACACAGTGTGCATCCAAACACACACCTTTGCACACCGCACAGCGCCGCACGGGTTTACACACAAGTGCATCCAAAGTCAAACACAGGAGAGGCGTTCTATTCTGGGAGTCCTTGAGACATTGACCTCGCTTCGCCTCGAGGATGCTCTCGCCCAGGTATTTGCGGGCGACTGGAGAGCGCGGCCAGTGATAAGGCGAGGCTCGCTGCGCCACGCCACGCCGCGCCGCGCCACGCCAAGTGAATGGTTGGGATGGCGGCGTGGTGCGGGCGGCGGACGTGCCGCGAGGCAGGCCTGCATGGCGGCGAGCTCGAGGGGAGGCGTTTACTCCCAGTATTGCCTGTACATACGCACTACGCACCGCGCCAAACCACCATTTTGACACGTTTGTGACAGGTTCTGACCAACTTTGTGGCAGCATTGCCCTAATCCTTTTACTCCGACATCGACCCAATTTTGTACTCTTTGGTCTTCGCGCCAGTCGCGCCAGTGCTTGGAGAAGTGTGCGCACTCGCATTGAGAGGTTGGTACTCGGTGCGGTGGAGGCGGAGGTCGGCGCGTCTCCGCGCGACGACGGTGACGAGTGTGCCGAGGACGAGGCGAGGAGGGAGGGGAGGGGCGCCAATTTGGAGCGAGGCTGAAGGGCTTTGGGGCCGGGCTGCCCTAGCTCCTCGTCCGCCTCGTCGGGGTGTCGTGTCGCTGTGTGCCGTCCTCTTATCTCCCACCTTCCGCGTCTGCATTAGCGTCTAGTGCGCGACTTAGCGCGCAGCTCGCTCGTCGCTCTGTCTCTCTCGCACCCCGTCCGCAACGCCCGGTGAGTGCGAGAGAGGCAGAGCGACGAAAGCGGGGTTCCGAATGGGCCTCAGGTGCTGCTGCAGCGCCACAGGTGGCCGCGCCTCGCCGCGCCTCGCCGCACTGTCCGTCCTGCAGGCCGAGCGCTTGGCGTGGCCGGGCGTGGCGCTGACCCGCCCCAACCCGGCATGGCAGGCCGACGGCAGGCCGACAGGCCCGACATGCAGGCAGGACCAAGGACCCTTTCCCTCTCGCGGGGAAGAGGCGATAAGTCTTCAGCGTATCAGGGCGCAGTGGAAAGGCAGGGATGGGTTGAAGGACAGAGGACAGAGACTACTCTCTCGGAATCAAAAAGGAGGCAACTGTTCGCCATTTTACAAAGTGGCCCCCAGATTGCCCTGCGTTTTCGAAGCGTACCTCAGCTTCCCGGCTTCCTTTCTTCCTCGAGTTTGTTGGCCGATCCGCACCGAAGCGCCCCAATTATTCTGATGTAAATAAACATTGCCTTTCATCATGGCCCTCGCCGCGGCCCTCGCGACCTTCCCGCGATAACCGCAAGCCGATTTGAAGGGAGCGAGTCGAAGGGGCACTGCCGGCAATGCCGGGCAATGCGTGCGCGGAGTTACATCACCCCAATCGGCCGGTATCGCTCGGGGGTCACTGCCGTGGTCCGCGGTACGTCCCTGCGCCACCTGCTGTGAGAGGAGGAGGTGGCGGTGGCCGTGGCGGTGGCCGTGGCGGTGGCGGCGAGCGCACTCGGACCGAGCGTGCCTTAATCGGACGGACTTGCGTTGTCTCATCATCGCATGGCTCCATTATTTTTAACCGCATGCAAAGTACACATTACCTCGGGTGAGTCACCCACTCGCCAAACTTGATTCTTTTCCTGGTGGCTCGACTTACTGCCTGCACGTGGAGCTTGGTTTTAAAATAATTGAAAGATTCTTTTTAAAATAAAGAGAATGAGCTAATGATCACTGCACTCTTCATGATTCCCAACGTTCCATCTAGATGGTGTCCAGAGGTGGTGCCCCATCCCAGGGGAGCGCAGAGCCTGTCTCCTCTCCGCTGTCAAATTTAAAACGCAGAAAGTAAAGAGGGAGGGTTGATTGACCAGCCAGAGCTCGGTAGAGCCACGACGTATCGCAGTATCACGACCAGACGGCCTGCCAACGGCCTGCAGCCTGCAAGGCCGTGCAATTCGCCATGAGACTTGCCATAAGGCTTGCCATGAGGCTTGCCGCGAGCCGCGAGGCTTGCCATGTCATCCCCCCTTCCCCCTCTCGGCTCTTCTGGCGCTCTTCTGGCTCTGGTCATGAGGCGGTCCGTGCCGACCGGCCCGCACCGGCCCGCACCCCGCGCGGAGGTGACCGCGTGTAGGGACTTTAACCGGCTGCAGACGACTGGGCCGACTGGGGCAGACTGAGGTCAAGCGGCGGCGAGAGAGACTCGACGCGCGACGGGGCGACGCGACTGGGCGACGCGACGCGGCCGAGAGGCACGACGTGAGCGTCGCCGCCGGACACAGCAGCGTCGCGTTGACCTTTCAGGCTGTCGGGCGGCTCGGCCTGGTTGCGTTGCCTGCCTCGCAGGGGCACGCGGCTTGCGCGGCTCGCGGGCCGCGGCGCGGGTGCAGTGACCCGCGGCGTGGCGATGCGTGGTGCAGCGGTGCAGCGCGCAGCACGGGATGTGGCGTGGCGGAGCACCACGGTGGTGGGCGTCGCCACGTGACTGGTTGCACGGCGTGGTGCATGGCGTGGTGCGGGGCATGGCTGCACTGCGCCGAGACGCGCCAGGACGCGCCTAGCCGCGTCACTGCAAGGTCAGCCTGACGCGCAGACGCGCAGACCGCACCAACCCAACGGGCCGAAATAGCCGCGGAAGAGCAGCGGCCAGCTCCTTTGGCCGGCAGGCGGCCGGCAGGCCTTTGCATCCTTATGTCTCTTTCACCCGGCCGACGCCCGACGCAGCCCGACGTCTCGATGTCGGGGTGGCGGTGGCGGCGGCGGGGGCGGCGAAGGCGGTGGCTAAAAGCGCGCCGAACGCACCTTTTTCTCTCATCGCCGCGTGCGCGCGCGTCCGAGGCGGGGGCCAGGCTCAGGCCACCTCGGGCAGGACCCGCGGCAGGAAACGGGGCGACTGGGGCCTAAAGAACGGGCCGGGCGGGGCCGGGGCTGTCGGGAGGCGGACTGATAGCCCGGCCTTCAATTGGCGGCCTGGCCTCGAGTACGAGTGACATAACGTGAACAGGCCAAACCACATGAAACCGAGACCATGTGCCCCACACGTGGACGGCCCGGCTCAAACTTGAACCGAGATTCCAGCCGTCCTGAGCGTGACACCACCTGAGCACCGGACAAAAGTAGAGAGATCACCCCGATCACCAGCCGCCATGTAATAGCCTACCCATGTAATACCTACTCGTCTTAGATCTAATTGCACAAATGGGAGAGGTGACCTGTGGGGTTCATGATGGCGATGGCGGCCTGATGGCGGCGGGTGACGGGGTCTCTTACTGACTGACCTGTCGGGTTCAAAATGGCGGCGGGTGACATGGAGGTCTCATACTACTGACTGGCCTGTGGGGTTCAAAATGGCGGCGGGTAACATGGAGGTCTCATACTACTGACTGACCGACTTACTCCAGTGGCGCGCCCTCCAAAGATGCCAGATTTTGACCCTTCCATGCTGCAATCAGGAGAGACGCAGATCCTGGCCGCACCGCCGTAAGTGGGCGGATGCGCCTGCACTGCACTCTGCCTCTCGGCAGCGACAGCAGCGACAGCCGTGCAGGACACGTGAGCGAGTGAATGCATCGCCTATCTAGCCTCTTGTTGTCTCGTCGGCCTCGCCAATAGCGCTCCGTCACCTTTGTCCTCGGGCACCTGTCGTTGGGGCGACCAATAAGAGGGTCGGCGTCGAACACCGGCAACGGCGGTCCAGTTGGGGACGAATTTGGCCATTTGGATGTCCCTGGTTCGGTTCAAACAACCGGGAAGCAGGCAGGCAGCACACCTCCAATTTGTTGGCGGTGGATAGTCCAACTAAACGCAGCGGTTCTGTTCGACTTCCCGGCCAGCGTGTTCCGGTCGTGACGCATGCTAGCTCGCTGCCACCTGTATCGGATGAGGGCAGGCAGGCGCAACGGGTGCGCACCGGACAGTCAACTATAGACACTGAGTCACGATTCACAATCGCCGGCAAAAACATTAGTTATTCCGAAGCACGCCCCAGTTCTTTTTACCGAGAATCGCTGGTCGTGCCGCAAGCGTCAAGGTGAGCGGAATATGCACGACTCAGCATATCTTTCGGAATACTCGGAATACCTATTTTACCTTACGAAACATTTTATAGTCTTACATGTTGCGGGTCCCTTAGAGATAAAAAGACAAGTCTGAGAGAATATAAGGCATAAATCAGTTTCGAACGACTTCACTCAATCAAAAGGCAGTTTATCAAAGTCTTGAAGTTCTTTTGTTTTTTCTCTCCCGTATTATTTTCCAAATTGAAACTGATGAACGCCTTTGTGAGTGTCAGCTGAGTGCGACAGGAGCAAATCACCCCCTCAAAGCAGATACGGCTTATCGTATTAATCTGATTGTGTCAGGTTTTTTTCTCGCCTTTATCAACCCCCATCGCACAATGTCTGAATACTGACCAGGCGACAGGCGAGTCGGCGGGGCTGAATTTTTCATTCAGGTCGTTGCCGTGCCTCGCCCCGAGCCCGCGGGGTCCGGGGGCCTCCCGGGGCCCCCAAGGGTGGAAGGGGGTCGTCGTTTGAATAAACTGACATAAGATTCAAAAGTTTGCAGCTCCGCATTGTAGCGCCCAGAGGGCGTTCGCCCGTTTCACAATCAACGTCGTCCAGGTGTCCTTCCCTGCGGTCCTGGCTGGCCGAGTGGCTGGCCGAGTGGCTGGCCCGGGTCGCCCGGTCGGTCCCCGAGGCGGTGCTCCAGATCGCACCTAACTAAACCTCAGCCAGTCGGGGCGTCGGGCCGCCTCGGGCCGCCTCGGGCCGCCTCGGGCCGCGGACCTCAGCCGCCCTTCTCTGGTTAGTGTTTGCGAGCGGAATAAGCCCTTGCATCGTGTTTACGGTGTGGTTGCGCGCGGCCCGACGCGGCCCATGGCGGGGCCCCGAGCGATTCGAAGAACGGGGCCGCCCCACTTCACCGTATCGTCTTGACTCTGCAGAACGGTCTCGTTCAACATGGCGCGCATACAGTCTGTTATTTGTCTCAAGATTATTTTTTCAACTCCCTCCCGAGAAAGGGGGTGCCGAGTGTGCGCACAGCCACACTCCTTATTTCCACAAATCGCGCGAGCGACGCCATCTTAGCGTCATTTGTTGATGTTTTGCTAAGGTTTCCGTGATTTTCCGTCGCCGCCGTCACCTGTCAGCGTTTTGGCCGGCCGCCCGGCCTCCGCGCTGCCCTGGCGTTGCCCCTGATGCTGATAGCACGCCGTCAATGGCAGCCCCGGGGTCCACGGCGGCGTGGCCGAGGGCGTGGCGGGAAGGCCCCGAGCTGCGTCAGACACCTACGACTTGCGTCGCGAATAAAAGGAAAGTAACAGTTTTATAGCAGTTTGGCGGCTGGGGGTCTCTAACCCAACCCATCGACTAAAATGTCACAGCTTGTCACGAAATTACAAATAAAAGTACTCTGACTCACTTGTCGAGGCTCCAATGGACGTGACCATGAGGGTTTTTCCTGTAACAGTAATGAATCCGTCTCGTGCCAGCTAGCATGACATGGTCGGCCGAGTGAAGAGCCCGCACAATTTTAATTTGCCTTTGCAACCAGGCTGCAACGCTCCTTCAAAGATAAAACCGACTGTCCGACCGCACAGCAGCCAGTGGATGGATTTCGAACTCTGCTACCAGGTCCAATTACCTCCGAGAGCGCGACAGAGATGGAGCTCGCCCTGCCTATTCTCCCCTTTCTTCATAGAAGTAATTGTTGGTGCATACCTTTGACCGCTGACGCCCCGGAACCCATACCACGTGCCTTAGTTACTGCAAACAGAACGCCGACACGCGGCGACGCAGCTCTCGAGCGGGTGACACTTTTCGCGCGAATCCGCGAATCCTTCTCCACGATGCGGGGCGTCGAGGCTTCAGCGGCTTCAGCGGCTTCAGCATGCGGCAGTCAGGTGCAGCCGTCGTGCGGGAAGACAGATAAGGCGCAATGAATGGGCCTTCCCAGAAAACTGCAAAAGCGCAAGTCAAACAAGGTGTAACGTAGCGCGCGTAGCGTGATCTCACCCACCGCCTGACGAGCAGTGCTGCCATCCACGCTGCCGTGCCGTGCCCGTTGCCAAGCGCCTGCGAAGTCGGCGGTAGGCACCTCTGCACGACACGCGTTCGCGGCGGCCGGCCCACCCGCGTGCCTCCAGGCGCTCTCCAGGCGGAGGCGGAGGCGGGGGTAGCGACGAGGTGCTCTCCTATGCAGCGGGGGGTAGCGCCGGGCCTCCAGGCCGCCAGGCAGTGGCCGAGGCAGTGGCCCGGGCTTCCGGAAGAGGCCGAGGCCATGAATGGGCACGAGTTCCAGCAACGAAAACCCATGCATCGCTGCAGCGGTACGTTTTGGAGCCAGCAGACGTCCGGAGGATGAGTTCGACCGAACGAGCTTTAAACTACCACTCCTCGACGATCCCGAGGAAGGGCAAGGCGATCTTTATTTTATGCCCCCTTAGAAGAAGACCGAAGGCACGTGTCAGGTCTATATTGAAAACACACGCGCCCGTATCGGTTTCTTGGTACAAACAACTCGTACACGTTTTTTTGTCGTTATGGTCTTCTTGCTGTGCTCGTGCCAACCGGCAACCGCGTCGTGCGGCGTCAGTTAGTGCTGTCCGCTGGGCCGTGGCTCGGGCGCACGTGGAGGTTTTTGGGTTCAGTGTTCGAAGGGGGAAGGAAGACTGCTGCTGTCACCAAGGGGCTAGCGGGGCTGCCCGGGGCTGCCCGGGGCTGCCGACCCGCCCACTCCACACTCCCCGCCTCGCCCCGCGTGCATGCAGGTTCCAAGGAGCCCTTTAAACCTGCCGCGGCGATGCGAGGCGAGGCAGCAAGTGACCGACATGGCGAATTTCGTTAGTCAGATCACTGACCTGAGTCCTGAGGCTGGCCGCGGCGCCGCAGCCGGCGGATTCCTGAGGAAAGGCCGGTCGGTGGCCGGACGGCGGGACGGCGGGACACTGCTGCAGGCGGCAGGGCTGGGCAGGACTGGGCAGGGCACTGCAGGGTCAACGGCACCACGCCACGGGGAGGCAGCGACCGTCCCTCACCCGTCTGTCCACGCAGCCTCCGCCCCCGCGCTGCCCCCGCGCTGCCTCCGTGCCGCCCCGCCGGAGCATTTCAATGCGGAAGGAGGGGTCAGGGAGGCCTAGGTCAACCAAATTACCGCCCCCAGGCGGCAGCCGGAGCCTGAGTCTCAATAATTATGTATTCAAGCATTTCCGGGCCTTGGTTGGCAAGCAGCTTGTTGCGGGGGCGGCCTGCTCGCCCACTCCACTGGTGGGAAACTGTTAAGACGATCGCCGAAGCTCAGAGGCCACCGTGGCGGAAGGCGCAGGGTAGTCCACCACAAGCCAACCAATTAACTCGAACCAATTTCCGAAGGGCCGCGGAGCGATTTTATCGGATTCGACCCCCACCGCCCAACGCGCCGCGGCCGTGCAGCCATTGCGGAATGGACCTCGTCGTCTCAACCTCCAACAACCCCAAAAACCGGCGTCCGAGAGCCATACACTTTTGCAGCTTTTTCGCCCCTTCCTGCCTTTGGTTTGGCCTCTGCTTGAAAGGGTAGCTGTAGGCGGGCCGCGAGCCGCGGGCTTTGATCATGCCACTCTGACTGTCAACGAGACCGACCGCGAGGCTGCGGGGCTGCGGGGCTGCGGGCTGCGAGGCTGGCTTCCTGGAATATCGCATACATGCATAACTGCGTAGTGACGAGACGGGCGGCGTCGGCCGGGGCAGGCCGGGGCCCGGGGGCGTCGACCCACGCATGGCAGCACATGGCGGTGCACCAAATTGGCGTGAGGCTCCGCCTAGCTCCGCCTAGGCCCAGGGAATGAGGCAGAATGTGAGCAACCGCGCCCCGCCCGCCCTCGAACCAAACAAAAAGCTTCCGGGCCGCGTGGCCGTGAATTTCAAAGTTTCCTTAATGTTGCAATTTTGTCGCCTGAGAACGCGCCGTGCGGCGTGGAAAAAGAGGTTGGGGTCAGGGAGGCGGGCAGGGAGGTGCGCAGGGGGCGGCTAGGGAGCCGCACCGTGCAGATCGTTGATATGCATTTGATAAGAGCCGCGGCCGGCACGGCCCTGCAAGGCCGGGGGGTCAAAGACTGGCCAGGCCGGCGCAGCCCGGCGTGGCGTGGGCCGCAGACACGACACGAGCAACGTGGACGTCTTGGTGTCGTGGCGGCACGCGGCAGACTCGTCCTCCCGCTGATTCGGCCGCAATAGAGTCCCAACCAGCTGATGCTGCAACTCCATCCGCTGGAAGGACCAGAAGCGCCTGGGGCCGCTCCAGGCATGGGGGTGGAAGCAGGGGTGACTGCGGTGGAAGTATCCTGGGCTTCCTGGGCCCTGGGCCGACGCTGCAGCTCCAAGGCACTCCAAGCTGGCGGTGAGGCTGCTCACTCCACACTCCAGGCTGGGAGACGCCCGGCTGGGTAGGCCGCCCACTCGGCAGGAGCGCGTCGCTTCCGAGGCGCTGCCTGCCTTCCAGGCGCTCCCCTTCCAGTGGCGAGGCCGGCGGGATCACGCCACCCGAGGCACCGCGCCGCGGCCACGCCCCCGCCCCGCCCGCCCCGCCCCGCCGCGGCTAGCGAAAACAGCGCGTAGATAATGCCGGCCATTGACGGGCGTAGTAAACAGGCGGGATCGTGCAAAGAAAAACACCTAGGCACCTTCCGCCGTGGACGTCGCGTCGCCACGCGGCCGCGTCAACATTTAAAATTTTCTTGTTTTCCTCGTCGCGGCAAGTGCCGTGTGACGCGTGCTTGTCACGCCGCGAGATTTATGCCGTTTTCCCCATTTTGATGGCGCCGTCGTTCGGCGTCGGCCGGGCCGGCCGGGCCGTCTGCTTCGATGAGGCCGGGCAGCGCGTTGCGGCCCCGCGCGGCCACGGCGACGCGGCCGGACTTGCGTCGCGTCGCAGCGCGTCGTTGGCGACGCGCCACGGATCGCCATGTAGTACCTGTGGGTGGAAGTGGAATGACGCGGGGCGCGGATGACGACGGCGGCGTGGCGGCGACCGGCGGCGACAATCCCACACTTCTGGGACGCGGCGCTGTTTATTGCCGCGTCGCCAAACACGATCGTTTGCAAACGCTCCGTTTCACGGTCAGCCAAGTCGCTGCCAAATTCCAGGCAGCGCGCCGCGCCGCGCAGTGCCGCGCAGTGGAGTGGACTGGCCCTCCGCTCCGTTGCGGTCCGCTCCGGCCGGCGAATGCGACCGCGGCCTTTCTATCCAGTTTCAGCACCGCGGCTGCAAACCTCTGATTCGTCTACCGCCTGCCGTTCACGCCAGTAGCTTGATGTCTGATGTCCGATTGTCGGAATCAAAAGAGTCTGCGGCAGGAGACTGATTCCCAGCAGACTATCGTCGCTCTGCCTCTCTCGCGCTCGAGGGAAGTCCCTAGGGCAGCCTGCTCGAAAGTAGTCTTGAGGCGGCGCGGTAGCCAGGCCCAGGAACGCCAGGGAAGTTTAGCCCAGCCGCCGCCAGCAAGGGTGATATGTGATATTGATACGGGGAAGATAGCCACGTTACCCCCGGCCGACGTGGATCGCGGATTGTACAGTGTAGATACCGGACCGCCAACCGTTACGCGTGCAGGCGGCGCCTGCGCCGCGCGCGGACAGCGGCCCCGTGGAGCAGGTTTAGGGCCTCGCCCGCCTGTGCAGTCGGCAGCGCACACATAGGCACGCACACACCACACACACACACAGGCACGCACGCGCGCGCACGCACACACACACACACACACGCACACACACGCACGCGCGCGCAGGCGGCGCGAAGTGAAGTGGCGGGAATAACGCGCGACAACAAGGAAACGAGGAAACGCGACGCGGCGGCGCGGCGTGCCTTATGGGCTTCACTTAAATGTCAGCGGGTGTGGCGGCGCGCGGCGCTTCGCCTTTCATTGCCATCTCACGGCGCGGGCCGCGGGCCGCGAACCGCGAGCACCGCCAACGCCAAACGCGCCGCCGCTGTACGCGATTGTGGTTCCCGTTGCGTCACCCGGCACGCCACACCGCGGAACCCCCCCTCAATGTGTAAACCAGTCGGGGGCAGGACCGCGGCCGCCCCGCCCCGCCCCGCAGTCCGGCCGGCCCGGCACCGCGGCCACGTGGATGTGCGGCCGGCAAGACGCGGCCGCCGTCGTCGCGGTGGCGGCCGGTCGTGGCGGCCGGTCGTGGCGCCCGGCGCGTGGCCCAAACGGCCGAGGACAACGCCGAAGGGACGCCCCCGGGCCCGGCCACGCCGCCGAGCCACCACGCCGCGCGTTCATTGGGATCGCACCGTGGCGGGGCCACGACGGCCACGTCACCGCAGTCGCCCGTCGCCACCCAGTCGATATGCGTGGCGTGCGCGGTGGCGTGAGACACCACCCAGCGGCCACCAAGCGTCCAGAGTGCGGTCGATCTGGCCTGGCTGATGTAATCCCAGCACCCGCAGCGTAAGGAGTTTAGGAAGTCGCTAGCCCGGCCTAGCGCCGCCTTGCTGGTGCCCGTGGAACCTGCTGGAACCTGGAACTGGAACCCGCTGGAAGCTGGAAGCTAGAGCACCCCTTGCGCCCCCTGCGGAGCGCGGAGCCGTGCGGTTGCTGGAGGCGAGGCGCGAGGCCGGCGAGGCAGACCACAGGGAAGGCCCGCGGCGTTGCCGGCCAGTCCCGATACACTCGGGGACGTGGCGGGGCGGGGCGGGGCGGGGCTGGTCGCTGGCGTGATCCGCTGTACACTACAGCTTGCTTACCTTAGGCACAGCGCTAAAGCACTCAATGAAGCCAACGGGGTGCTATTCTCGTTCACTAAACGGCTCAAATAGGTCACCAAAACACCGCGGCCGGGTCAGATAAGCGGAACAGGAGGGCAGGCCCGGCCGCAGGCTGCCACAGGCTCCCACAGGCTCGCCTTGAGTGGTCCATCAGCCGCAAAGCGCGACGAGACGAGTGCCTTCCAAAATGACGTCAATCGCGTTCGA